TTGTTGTTGTTGTTGTTGTTGTTGTTGTTGCTGCTGCTGCTGCTGCTGCTGCTGCTGCTGCTGCTGCTGCTGCTGCTGCTGCTGCTGCTGCTGCTGCTGCTGATGCTGCTGCTGCTGATGCTTCTGCTGTTGTTGTTGTTGTTGTTGTTGTTGTTGTTGTTGTTGTTGTTGTTGTTGTTGTTGTTGTTGTTGTTGTTGTTGTTGTTGTTGTTGTTGTTGTTGTTGTTGTTGTTGTTGTTGTTGTTGTTGTTGTTGTTGTTGTTGTTGTTGTTGTTGTTGTTGTTGTTGTTGTTGTTGTTGTTGTTGTTGTTGTTGTTGTTGTTGTTGTTGTTGTTGTTGTTGTTGTTGTTGTTGTTGTCGTTGTTGTTGTTGAAAACCTGAGGGTGGGCGAGGACCGTTCGCATCCCCCCCCCCATTTTTTATTCTTATTATTATTTTACTACTATTAACACAGCCCTACTGGAAAACAGGTGGAGAACAAAAAGAAACGAGGAAAAGGACAAAACATAGGGGATGTAGGGACGACGTGCCGATGTGCTGGGAGCAACTCAACTGACCAGAGGTTTCGGCGTCAGCGTTGCAACTAGACATCGAAAAGGGGGGGGGGGTTGCACAAGAACAACTGCAAACCAAACAGAAGCTAGAGAATACCACAAAAATAATAACTTGGTGCGAAGAAATGAGAAGAAAATAATGACGCCCAAAAGCGCTAAATACGAAATTAAGAAAAGGGGAAATCATAAACCACATAGCGCTAAAGCTGCACTAAATAATAATTTAAATTATAACTGACCCAGGTTGAAAACCAAGGAATCATAACAAACGAAACAAACTAATAATAAAAGGTAAATGAAGGCCCCCCCCCCCCCCGTGTGCTCCCCAATGCATTCACGCTGCACAACTTTTTACTACTTTCACTTTAGCTCATACGTATACATGTACATCCTTCAAAGCGGTGAACCCCTTGATAGGCGACAAGCCTCTGGGTCATCCTAATAAAGATATTATTATTATTATTATTATTATTATTATTATTATTATTATAAGGACAATATTTAGAGATACTGAGCCAGTAATAAAATGTAAAAAAGAGAAGAAACACATGAGAACGAGTTATGCAGCAACTATCCACGACTGTAACAAGATGATAAACGGTCAGAAAGTGCGATAATAGGGCACAACACTGACAGGCTACTGAGACATTCAGCGACCCGAGACCTAGCTCTAACACATCTCCAGAACAACTTAGCAACTTAGCTTGTGCACATTTTCGCTGCGCTCACCTGACACTGCAGGCTGACAGGATCGCTTTTCTAAATGACTTATGACAAGAGTACATAAGGGGCGTCCGTATGATATCGATGTTTTTTTCAAGACGATATTTGTTCATTTCTCCCCAGACCCCCTCCCTCCCCCCTCGAAACGAACATACACATGTTTATGCAAGGATCGATATTTTTTAATAAAGTTCAATTTCCTCATGAAACGTGACCAGCTGCCACTCTAATGTCACCATACACCTAGGTTTACATTGCCACGGTCGCACAACCTTGCCATGGCTATGCTCACGAGGTTGACTTTCACTTTGTGTAGGTCATAAACTACATGTTCGAACAGCGCCCGTCCATAGATAGAGTTCGATATTTTTTCCTGCAAAGACGAGACGAACAGGGCCCAACCCCCCCCCCCCCCCCCCCAAACGAACGAATATCTTCTCTAAAAAACATCGATATTTGTGGACGACCCCTAACCCCAGTACTCTTGCTTATATTGTAGTTACAGTGGTGGTCAAAAGTTTTGACCCACCATGCAGATTTTTCGAATTCTGAAGGTTTGTGCTGTAAGCTACTAAATTTTTGGTCGAGGACCTCTGAATCAGGCTGAATAGTGAAGTAGAAATGAAAAATGCTGAAAGACGGAGTCATCTGGGGACTACTGTGGTCAAGTATATGTAAAAGGCGGGTCAAAACTTATGGCCAACGCCCGCACTGTCATAAACCGCCAACAGGATACACGGAATAGTGTGATTTCTAAAAAGTATTCAACTAAACTAAAGTCTAGAAGTCAGTCCTGGCCTATTCCAGATACATCCACCACTTTGTAACCCCTCCCTTGGCCTTGATGATCGCTTGCATACGCTGCCGCATTGAATTGACGATCTTCTTGCGCTCGTGAGGAGAAATCAACTTCTATGCCTCCCGGCACACTCGCCACAGCTCATACTGGTTTCTGGGGGTGATTTCAACATCGTGCTGCTTCAGCCCAGCAATTTTGCAGAGATTCTCAGTTGGATTGAGGTCAGGTGGCTGCAGGGGCCATGTCAGGACGGTGATGCCGTTCACCGTCCGCCGCGCCTCCGTTCTGTTTGCGGAGCGTTTGCGGCCATAAGACACCACCCACACCACCCACAAGCTGCATCATGCTCAGCACATCATGTTTTCGGATGATGCGAGGTACTGGTCCGCATTCATCGTATCCATCACCCGGCAAATGCGCGCTACGCCGTTGCTGGCCATGGCTCCCATACATTGATATTGCCGTCGCGGCGCTTCACAGTTTTGCGGGTACATGTGCCAGCCAGAGCCTATCCTGTCCACCTCCTGACGTAAACTGCATCACCAGAGCCCTTGAGGTTGATTTTAGACTCATCAGTCCACAGAATTTACCACCAGTCATCACTGCTCCAGTCCTTGTGCGTCTATACAAATTTAAGGCGTTTTGCCTTATTCACAGCACTGATGAAGGGCCATTTGATGGCCATACAGCCACGAAGGCCTGCTCTCTGCAACTTGCGTCTCACAGAACGCACAGAAATCGCGTTATCACCGTCGCTCACCATCTCAGCTCGCAGGCAGTGATGGATTTGAGGCGATTCTCCATTGACTTCATGATATGGTGGCGATCTTGTCTTGCACTGGTCTCTCTTGGTCGGTCTGATCGAGGTGAAATGTAGTCAATTTTTGTTTCCTGACAATTCTACGTATCGTAGGATTACTCAAATCCAACAGAGGAGCGATACCACGCCAAAAGAGACCGTCAACACTCAGCTTCACGACCATTTCCCTCACATCCTTGCTAATCTGACCTCGGTTCACTATCCTGGCTGAAAATACCATCTCCGTCGTCAAAATAATCAAGTTTGATATCGCAAACTCTCAAAGTGAGAAGTCAAGTGTTGATTTTCAACTTTCCCGGCACGTGCATCAGCCTGACAACTTTTTTGAAACCGTACGGTACGGTAGAGCAAAATTTGGTCACGTGGCCATAAGTTTTGACCCACCCAAATGTATCGTGATCCATCACAAATCTCAGTTGACAACGGATTCTTTCAAATTTTAGTGTCCTTGCCAAGTTTCAATCGGCTTTGGCCTCAAAGAAGTCAAAAACGGCGTGTTTAGGAGCCAGGCTGAGCTGTACTGACGATTCCATGGGGTGGGTCAAAACTTTTGGCCACCACTGTATAACAAGAGTAGGCACTTCAGTCACGTGACAGGACCTGTCAAAATTTGCTAAGGTGAGAGTGCGTACTTGCGTGGCACCAGTCAAGTGCATGCGCAAAACTGTACAGGTACGCGCTATGCTTCGTTGTACGGGCCCGGGCTGATAGTTGGGCGCATCGTGTTGCTCTGACGTTCAGCTTTCAGTAGATCACGCATACGTCATAGTGCGTACATTTTTGCGAGTTGTAGATCACGTACACTACCAGCAAAGAGTTTTTTCACAAAGAACTGTTGTTTGCTCGCGTTTGAAACGCTGCTTATCGTCTTCAGCGTCGTCTTTCCATTCGGAAACAGTAGAGTTCTTGTTTGCCAGGGCTTGCGCATCGCTGCGCAAGGAGACATTATGTACGTAGGCACTGAGAAGTATGCGCTTTAGGCGGAGGAGAACGACGATGCGTCGTCCTACCTGGGCGAATTCTCAAAGCGTACTGAAAGCCAAGTTTTGACACGGTTGCGCTGAAAGGCCTACTGATGTTTACGAACAATCAAAAGGCACAGTGGCTGCTGGAGAAACCCTCTGATGAGGGGATGCTTTGATATACGCAACCAGGCACGCTTCACCAAAATTTCAAAGCTCACCAGCAGGCAATTCATGACTGCTGCATGGAGCAGTTGAAGGAGAGGGAGGCAGATATCACACCAGGGAAAGAAGCCACCAACAGAGGTCCTGAGGAACTTCTTGCCAACTTGGAATCACTTGAGATGGCATGACTGTGGGCACGAATGTCCTGTGCAGTAATTCGCACGCGCGCGCGCGCGTACTTACTCTCCACGTTGCGGTGTACGGCGTACAATGAGGAAGTTCTCTGTTGTTTTTGTGCCAGAAGAATGTCTTTATAGCTCTTACGCTTTAGTACCCGCAGGAGCCTGCCAGTATGTCGTTATCAGTTCATTTCACAGCAAACTGAAGCTGTTACTATGGCGTTGCTATGGGTTGCTATGGAGTTGCTATAGTGATTGCGGTCACAATTGCCGCATTCTTGCCTATTCTGAACTTTGATCTGTATTGTTTCGATCCATACAGGGTTGTTGGTGTAAGTGAGTGATGTGTGCTTGAAAAAAACACTTTGATGTTTTGTGACTATATCCACTGATGATACTTCGGAGATGCTGTTGGTGCCACAAATTGTATTGATTTCGCCTTATGCAACTGCCTATCTTCAACCCTTCATATCTGAGTGGTATGAATGTGGATTTCAATAAAATTTTCTGTGTGACCTTGTGATACCCACCACCATCGATTACCGATGATAAACCTGGAAAAAACGCGATTTCAAAAAATGGGGTGAAGTGCCTAACAAGAGTCCATAACCCACTGGGTTATGGACTCTTGCTTATAATTATACGGTATACCAAGAGTACAGTCATGTACTCTTGCTTATTCAATCATGTACCAATATCGAGTTCCCCCCCCCCCCCCGGGTGCTGCTGGTGACTGGATCATGGAGACCAGGGAGTCGTAAAATACCTTTTTTTACGACTCCCTGATGGAGACTGTGGTCCAGCGTGGAGAAGAGAAGGACCACAACTAATAATTACACAAGGGAGTAGTAAATAATGTACTTTGGTTCTAGTTCATAAACTGCGGCGGCGCCGGCGGCGCGGCCCGCATGCAATGACGTGCCGGCACCTAGCCACGTAATTTTTTGCGAGATTTTGTACCGGATCGGATCGGAGGAAGTCCATCGGCAATCGATCATCAAGAAATCCCTTTGCTTTGACTCCTTGGCCTTCCATCGCTTTCTTCTAGTACCAGAGATCGATGACAGGGAAGTGTACGTGTGAAAGAGAGGATGTATCGAAGGGTTTGAGTGGTCGTTTGAAGACCCACTCTACTCTGAGAGGACGTGTATTGCTCCCAAGGATCAAGAATTTGAATGAGTTGTTTCTGGTCATAGTAGTTCGAACGTCAATACATTAATTTTGTAATTTTCAATATGAGGCGCTGGATCCCTGTCTTTGCTGGGGCATGGATATTCCTCTTGTTGTTCGTGGCCTACAATCTTCTCAACAATAATGCTGATGATAAAACTGAAGAGATTCTGGCGCAACTTAGCCAGTGCAAACGCAAGTATGCTTCAAATTCGTTCGATCACTTACATACTCAAATAAGGCTGCTGAAGCAGGAGCTGGAGGAGACGAAAAAGAAGCTGGGAGAACCCAGAGGTGAAGGCAGCTGCCCACCATGCCGGGCGCCTGCCTGCGCGCCCCAAAAATCGTCGGAGAGCAACGAAGCTCAAGGAGCAGGTGCTGGTGACTCGACCGCCCCTTGGTCTCTGACAACGAATCTCAGAAAACGTGACAAGGTTCGCCGTCGTGTGCTGAACACAATGCGGGAGATGTGGTTCTACATCAGGCGGCAGTTGGGTGCTGTGAAGGATACGGCCGGTGGGGAAATCAAGAGTCGCCTCTCTGACATCCTGGATGACCTTATCGGTTACTATCAGTCCGCGGCAACGGATATCGTTAGCCTGGGCGAGATTGGCGGTATGAAAGAGTGGCGACAGGGTCAGGCCGATCTGGCAACGTCCATGATCGCTAAGCGCATTCAGGGACTGCAGGAGCCCGATGACTGCACCAAGTCCAAACGCCTGGTCTGCGATCTCGGCAAGGGATGCGGCTTTGGCTGCCAGATTCACCACGTGTTCTACTGCATGGCGACGGCGTTCGGCACTGGTCGCACGTTCATCGTGCAGGGCCAGTCCTGGTCGTACTCGCGGTCCGGCTGGAACGGCGTCTTCAAGCCGACGAGTGCCAAATGCGAGTCCCACGGCACCGGTCACAGTATGTGGCGAGGCGACGACGACGAGACCGACGTCATCAAGATGCCGATCATCGACGGCGTTAGCCCGCGACCGAAGGCCCTGCCGCTGGCCGTGCCCAGCGAGTTTGTGGAGGTAATCGAAGGCTTCCACACGTACCCGTCCGTCTACTGGTTCGGCCATCTCGCTCGCTATATCATGCGTTATGCACCCGCCGTCAAGGAGAGCATTGACAAGCGCTTGGAAGAGATCGGATTCAAGCATCCTATTGTCGGGTAGGTTACGCTAGCTTCACTTGACACGTCTGGTAGATTCTAAATTTGGAGAATGTTCGGCCCCGGAGCTGGTGAACTTGAAAAATAGAACTTCTCATTCTGAAAAAAAACACGCAAGAAAAACACTAGCCATATTGGTACTTGTTTTAGTGGCAAGGGTGGCACAAGAACACATGCTTGGCTCTGTTGGAAAACATGAGCCTGGTCTGCATGTACCGTACACAATGTCCTCCAATCGTTGAGATCCTACTTTACAGTGGTATTGTATGCAAGCCAGCGTGCTTGTCTGTCAGCGCACGCCAATACCCAATAGGCCAAAACACGTGTAGATTGTGCTGGATCATTTAAATTCATTGTACCACCGGGTATCATACCCAATGACGGTACATCGCCTTAGTTTGCCTGGTGAACAGCCAGAACGTTTGGAAACTCGGCCAGTTCTCGGCCGCGTGTTCTTCTCCATGTCGTATCCTGCTGCTTGTGTCTTGTTTACAGCATTCACGTTCGACGTACGGACAAGATCAACACGGAGGCTGCGTTCCATCACGTCAAGGAGTACATGCTCCACGTGGAAGAGTGGTATCTGGAGTTGGAGCGCACCACCAAGGTGGACAAGCGTCGTGTGTATCTGGCCTCTGACGACCCCAAAGCCATTGATGAGGCTCGTTCCGAGTAAGTCACTGCAGAGTGGTCCTTGTGAGTGTGGGTGGGTGTGTGTGTGTGTCCATGCGTTAAGTCACCTAGCGACGCACTTTTGGGTAAAGACAAAGAAAGTTCTCGCAATCAAGACAGTAATATTGCAATTTTAGTGAGGAGGGATGTTGCATGACAGGGTATGTAAGTGTTAATTGTGTCATCTTTCCCAGTGATTAAAGTGAGCTGGATTCTCATGATTGGAGCAATCAACTAACCCATTGTGAAATGGGTTAATAATCAGAGTGCTTCGCAGAAATACGGACACTCTTTGTTGAATGATTCTTTGTGTTTGCCCACACTTTGCTTCACCGTGCCATCTAAGGAAGAAATGGGATAGAGCAGTTCTGTGTGTTCCTTCAAAAATGTTAGACTGCCATGGGTACATCAGGTGGGAAGTTCATCTGTTGGAAAGAATGCTCTCCCTTTATCGATCATACTTTGAAACTGTGAAGAATCCAGTCCAGTGATGTGCATTTCAGAGCCTGGGATTCATCTGTTGGTGTCCTGCCCTGTCACACACTTGCTCCTTCAAGTGTTTGGAGCAGAGCACGTTAGGGTGTGCAGGGGTGGCCGGCTAGTCGCTGTATGCCGGCCCACTCCCGCCACCACGGATTGGCAACAAGTGAATGGTGTATATGCAGTGGGTGCAGTGCAGCACGTGACACAGTGACAGCAGTTCAGTATTGTTGAGGCATAGGTACCCAGTGACATCCTTCATACTGTAAACCGTGAAATTATTGCGATGGTCTAATTTCTGCGAAATTCTCGACCGCGTGGAGAAATTTAGACAGCGCGAAAAGGAGATCCATGGAAGGTGTAGCATGAATGCCACAGTAGCAAATTCTGCAATCGCAAAATTAAAACCTGGCAAACCTGTCCGGATTCCGAAAACGCGAACTAAAAACGCCGCGAAAATTTCACGCTTTACAGTAGCTGACCTTGTCAGAAACATGGGTTGTTTACTTACTATAGATCATATCGCGTATTTCAATCTCTACTGCTAATTCTTTCATATTGGAAGAGCTATGTGGATGTCTCTCGCCGTATTTCCTCACAGGTTATAATTTTTTAACTTGCAAGCTGCATCCGTGCGTAAGTAGTAGCAGCCCCCCCCTCCCCCCCCATTGGGGGTGTGGGTGTGCTATTTTACATAACTTTGTGAGATTGTGCGTGCATGTGTTTGTGTGTTTGTGTGTTTGTGTGTGTGTGTGTGTGTGTGTGTGTGTGTGTGTGTGTGTGTGTGTGTGTGTGTGTGTGTGTGTGTGTGTGTGTGCATGTGTGTGTGTGTGTGTGTGATTGTTGTTGCTGGTGTAGGTTTCCCGCGTACGAGTTTCTGAACGACAAGTCATCTTCGCTCAATGCTGGCGTCGGCTCGCGCTACAGTGATGCTGGCTTGAAGGGCGTTGTGTTTGACATTGAAGTGCTGTCCCGCACTGACTTTCTCTCCTGCACTTTCTCCTCACAGGTAAGATCTCTTCTCACATGGTATACAGTATACACTCATTGCGCAATGACTTAGCTTGTACCACCGACGCCCCACACAGCCATCTGGGTACAGTACTGTCGGTCGCCGAAGAACTGGGGGGTCAGCCTCCTAGCCTAGCCCGTTCTTATTTTCATGCATTACAGTCTATGCACGGTTGAGTCATTGTGTATACATTGGGATGCTGTGCTTGGTAAAATTCTAGCCTGATCGTTCTTCGGCGCTCCGTTCTTTGGCGCCTGACAGTACTATGGTTGTATGGGGTGTTGAGCAGTGCATTGCTGATCTCAGCGTACTGTGTAATAAGCAGAATATTTTTTAAATATAAAGAACTCTTCCTCTCCTCTCCTCCATGCACTCTCACAGCCGACTCACTGCTACCCTCGGTAGCCATTGCACACACCAACAGCCATACAAGGAAGGGGCATGGAGGAGAGGAGAGGAAGAGTTCTTTACATTTTATTGGCCGAATAGTACCGTTCACCATTTGAAATTTTTTAAATAGTCAAGAAAAAGGACCAAGGAACTACAAGTTACGCTATAATGTCCACTAACAGTGTCGTGCAATGTTATCACATGAGCTGATTGCTTAGTAACTGGTTTTGTTAGTGGACATTATAGCGTACATGTAGTTCCTTGGTCCTTTTTCTTTTGTATTTTAATAGTCCTCGAATAATTTCGACGAAACCTCACATCACGTGACGTGGTGTAGTGTTCCCGTTGTACGCTCCCAACCCGTTTTGGCGACCAGTGGAGTTGGAAAATTAGCACTCCCTGACAGAAACCCACTCGGACCATGCGAGTCCTCAGAATGATCATGGCAGATATTTGGACTGCGCGCACACTGGTCTTCGTTGTACGTAGTACAAATCGTACTTTTTAACACGCGAAGTGGGCTGTCGCCGTCGGAGACCATGTATGCGCACGCTCTTGGGAGGTTATTTACTCTTGGCGCAATATGTACAGCATGAGTCAGCGGAACCGCTTATGGGCGCCATCAAGAGTACATAACCAAGAGTGTGCAACTCCTATCTCGAGCTGCGATGGGTTCACCCACGGCGGAATTTTTTTCTTGCGTCATTCTTTGGCTGAAGTATGATCAAGTGCGTATGCTTTCCCGCGCATTTTTTGTAGATACGGTGAGAGTTCACCAGGTTCAAGACACATCGATCTATCGTCCGTTGTTCTGCTTCGACTACCGTAGCTGTGATGTACAAATTCTTTGTACTTTGATCTCTGGCTACGCATGATGGCATCAGCGAGCCAAACAGCCGCCAAAGACTGATGTCATAAAAAAAATCCGCCGTGGGTTGGGGGATCGTCGAGTTGCACACTCTTGGTTATGTTCTCTTGGCGCCATGTATGCAGCGCGAGTCGGCAGTGTCCATAGTTTCGTTCGGGCTAGTGCATCGCCGTGCAGCAACTTAGCCAAACAACTCAACTGGTACTGTAATTGATAACCTCTAAATAGCACCAGTTGGTGTGTGCAACTTGATGAGCATATACTGTACAAGCAGAAATATTCGTCTGGAATTTAATTTCGTCTTTTTCGTCCAAGGAGCTTTTGGACTAAATTAAATGCCGGACTAATATCGATTTGTCCAGCTTTTCAATACACTCTTATGATCCATGGACGAAATTTACAACCGGACGAACTCCCTTTCTTTGGAGTTGGACGAAATTATTGACCGACGAAATTTTCTGCTGATACAGTAGTGAAATGTCAGTGCAGAGTACTGTGCCCTTGCATTGAGTACTATACGTCAACAAATATTCGGCGCATACAGTAAGATCGGGCGCCGAAGAACGCAGGGGCTCGAGCGTAGCCTAGGAAAGTTCTTAAATTTTCGATTCTAGCCAGACCGTTCTTATTCACACGCGCGCGGCGAGTCGAGTGACGTCATGACGTTTGTCATGTATATGTACATGTTCATGTAGTGCAATGTAGTACTTCTAAACTAGTGGGTGTCGTAAATGGGAATGACTGTACATGTAGCAGTTACTGTTTACACGTGTACATGACATGTACTCACCTCCCATACATGTACAATGATGTAGATCTACGTACAATGTAGATCTAATAATAATAATATTCGCGGGATCCGCGTCGGCATCGCTTGAATGTTCAGAAACACACAAACTAGCCTTCGCATCCGCAGGCCACCACTATGCCTGCTAACCTCAGTGGCGAATGCAGACCTCACAAGTGAGTCAGGGGAGAGGAGGTTAGTCTCTCAACCAATCGGGCGTGTAACGGCCCATAACCCTGTAAACTGCATCCTTGTTATTCTCACTCCGAGCTGTGAGTACCCAGTTAACCGTGGGTGTCGGCCCAGTGCTACCAGCGCGGGTCTTGAACTCGGGACCTCATGATTCGCAGGCAGGCCTGCAAACCAATCGGCCATATGCGTTGGTGTAGATCTAGTGTTCTTAAATCTGATAATTCTAGCCTGGACTGTTCTTAAATTTTGCCGGTTTTCCAGCCTGGGTGTTCTTCGGCGAGGTGTTCTTCGGCGCCCGATCTTACTGTATGTATTTTCGGCTATTTTCGGCCTGGTCATGTTTGGCCAAAAATTTCCGGCCGATTTTTTTTTGCAAGGTTCAGTGTGACAGTGTATACAGACGGCAGCAGTACAGGCCGAAAAATTGTAATGCAACCGAAATGGATTTTAGCCCTGGGAGGCCAGAATTTGAATGGGCCGAAAATTTGTAGGCTTACGGTACTCTTGCTATACGAACCGTTTCTCTTTGCACCGGATACAAAGTACTGTAAAAGCCACATATATAACGAAGTGCTAAATCTAACGAGTTAACGAGGAGAAATCTGTCGTTAAAATAGAAATCGTTAAACAGAAATCGATACAATCACATACTGTACAAGCAGAAATATTCGTCTGGAATTTATTTTCGTCTTTTTCGTCCAAGGAGCTTTTGGACTAAATTAAATGCCGGACTAATATCGATTTGTCCAGCTTTTCAATACACTCTTATGATCCATGGACGAAATTTACAACCGGACGAACTCCCTTTCTTTGGAGTTGGACGAAATTATTGACCGACGAAATTTTCTGCTGATACAGTACTGTCCTATTGAGCGTTGAGAATGAGTGAGAATCGTTACCTTTGGTGCACGTAAACCAGTCAATTTTAGGAAATCGTTATAATTTAATTATATGCACCTCGTTAGAATAATGGCTTTTACAGTACTGTGCTGTGCTGCTTACTGAAGCCGATCAAGCGAGTCACTGCCACGTTGCCGGGGGCGCTGTGCAGCCGTAGACCTGCCAACACCGGTATGTGAACTGGTGCAGAGCGCAAACTCGAGTCACGCGATCGGTTTTCACTGAGCAGCGCTGTGCTTTTTTTTTGTGTGAATACGATCAGTTCTCTGCACTGCTGCTTGCTGACTCAAACTCCTGCATGGGCTCCGAAATGCGAAGCTTGTCACTTATTCGTAGTTCGACTTTCTTCGGAGTGCAAACTCGAACATAAGACACCTCTTGCTCAACTTCCGTGTTGTACATGTACAGTCAACTTCGCGAATAACGACAGAATTTCCATGCCCAGAGCAAAGTCCCATCCAACTGTAATACATAATGAGACTTCAGGTATAAGGACACTTCGCGAATAAGGACACTTTTCTGACGCCCCGCCGAGTGCCGTTATACGCAAAGTTGACTGTAACTCTTTTTTGAATGGTTTGTACGTTGTAGACGTGGACGGTTTCAAAAGGATTGTATTTTTCTCATGCTTTCCCTTGCGTATTGGCTGCTGCAGGTGTGCCGTGTGGCGTATGAGCTCATGCAGCCGCTGCACATCGACGCCGGCGACAAGTTCCGCTCACTGGACGACATCTACTACTTTGGCGGTCAGCGCGGGCACGACCAGCGCGCCATCTACCCGCACAAGGGACGCAACGGACAGCTCGATATAGAGGTAAGACTGCTGCAGTACTGGTGTACTGTAAACGGGGAAACTCTTGCGGCGTTCAACTTTAGCGTTTTGAAAAATGTACACCTGTTAACGACGGGGAAATTTTAGCGATTTGGTCTTTTCGGGTGGTCCTTTTTGTACTACACTTTTCGCACCCAGACATGCTCAGAGACTTGACAGAAAATGCAGATCAATGCCAAATCCAACACAGCCGTACTTCGAGTACAAATTTATTTTTCACGGTAGTACCATTGCAAAGCATTGCAATTGCAGAATATCGGGCTCAACACAGCAGCACGATCATACTAGTAATAGAACTGCACCAAACTTCAAGAGAACAGAATGCAACACCGCAAGAAACGGAACGCAAAACTGCAAGAAATGGAACGCAAAACTGCAAGAAACGGAACACAAAACTGCAAGTAATGGAACGCTAAACTGCAATAAACGGAACGCAAACCGCAAGAAACGGAACGCAAAACTGCAAGAGAACGGATCGCAAACACTGCAATAAAAACGGAATGCAAAGCTGGAAGAGAACGAAAAGGAAATGCAACTTCAAGAGAACAGAACGGAAGCACTTCAAAAGAGCAGAATGCACAACCAGTTCACGGCAAGATCCAATGGTTGCAGCTCAGCTGCAAACACCTCACAAATCATACGAGCCGGCTGTGATTCCTTGTCATGAACCTCATGCCATGACTGCACGCACGGCGCAATCACAGCATCGATGTACTCAAGCATTGTCTGCTCTGTACTCCAATGCGATGCACTTTGTGAAACATTCCAGTCATCCGGGAAGGTCACTTTCGGGTGGCACTTCTTCGTCTTCCCCTCGTACAGCACCTGGGGTGGTAGAAGACATCCGGACGCAGACACAGCCAGAAGGATTGTCACCTCCCGTGTGTCGTCCTTCCCCACCACAGCGACTTGTTTGCTTACCTTCTCCGCCAATGTCCAGGAGCTTTCCTGGCATGCACTTTGTGCCAGTCTGATCCCAATTGATGATCAGCTCAAGAGGAATCGAGTTACTAGCCACTGCCTCCTTTACTTTCTCTAGGAAAGCAAATTTCCGTGCCGGAAAGTCTGCAGGCAGTTTCCGCGCAGCCTTGGTGGCCTTCCGCTTCACAAATCCGTGACGCTGACGAAAGGAGTCTGCCCAGTCCTTCATGAGGACAACTGTTCCGCCGTTTTCTTTCAACAGCGAGGGCTACCGGTGCGCGACGATTCCCTTCGCGCCAGCGATGATGATACTGGTGCTGACGTAGCCACCAGCTTGTCGCAAAGCCATTACGTATTCGGCTACTTCACCGTCCAGGTCACCAAGCAGCAGTGAGCGACTCCCAGCTGCATGAACGAGAGTTTTCACCAAGTTTTATCGAATTTTTGAAGTCGTTATGTGCAAAGCGATATGTACATGCAGGGATGAATTTATCCTGTATCGCATCGCAGTTTGCGCTGCAAAATCGATCTACTGCTACTCAAAAGTCGCCGTGACCCGCCGAAAACTGCGATACATACAGACTATCCATGCCTAGCCTGTGCTGTCAAGTAACATGCATACAGTGCAGTGTATGTGGTGCAGGCACTCTCAATCTGCATTCACATGTATGATTCAGTCGTTTTTTTGCAAATGGGCTTTCAGGCATCACTCTCCAGAAGGACAATGTGGTGAACACCCAAACTTCAAAGGAAAATGCTAATCAAAATCAAAGACTGGTACACAATTGTGATTTTGTATAGCAGAAACTGCTATGCAAAAATATGACAATAAATTCATCCCTCTGACATGTACAGTCTTTTGCCGATTTTGAGACAGAATTCGTTAGAATTTCACTTCGTTAAAGGGGTCCTGGGGAAGTACACCCTAAAATCAAGTTTTCACCAGTTGTAGTCTTCGGGGTGCGGAGTCAAATGTGCTTGCTCCGAGGAAGCTGAGACGCTCTCTTCCTCCTTTATTCCCAATCGAAGTCGCGCACTTCCAGCGAAACTGGGTGGCTGCGCCCTACTAGATAGGGATTTGTATGCAATAAGTAAACTAAAAGTGCCGTTTCGTTCTTACAAAAGCACGGATGACCGCGATAGGTCCATATGTTGTAGTCTTTTGGACACTGAGTCGACTGGCTTTGGTCCGAAAAGGGTGCGATGTGGCGTTCGGCCGGTGTTCCCAATCGAACACGGGTGAGTAAGCGGTCACGTGCTCCTGCGTACACAAGTCGCCTGGTCACCGTGCCTGCAGGCTACAACTTTTTCACCAAGGTTCAACTCAAAGGTTCAAAGGTTCAACTTGAGTTACAGGAACGCTGTAAAAGCAGGCACGATGACCAGGTGACTGGTGTACGCATGAGCGTGTGACGTGAACCAATCGTGGTCATCCGTGCTTTTAACGCCGCTGTTAGTGACTTTTGGCAATCCCCGTTTAGTAGGGCGCAGTCACCCAGTTTCGGTGGAAGTGCGCGAGTTCGATTGGGAATAAAGGAGGAAGGAAGCGTCTTAGCTTCCTCGGACCAAGACCATTCGACTCAGCACCCCGAAGACTACAACCGGTGAAAACTTGATTTTAGGGTATACTTCCCATTTAACCCACAAAAATCCGGAGATCGCTAACTTAAATTGACGTTAATATAATCTGGTCCAACAGTAAACCAATTTAAACTGTGATGCTGTCCGGGGTGTAGGCCAGTCTCTGTTGGAGTCCGGGCGTGACCATTTCCAGTGTCCCTTCCAGCTGCAAAGCGCATAGTATGGCACATTTTCTCGACGCAGGTGTGTGCCGCTGTTTTTGGCCGAGTTCAGACGACTTGTCCGTCTCTGTAAGATGGGTACTTTTTTATGAGATGTATGACGTCTAGTACTATAATATAGTACTTGCTTTCGAACACACACTCATATTATGAGTGTGTGTTCGAAAGCACTGGATTACATCATCGTTAATGCAGATATGTGGCGGCGGGGTTGGAGGATGGTGTGTACAACTGAGCTGCAGTTGTACAGCAGGAGACAGCTTGAATCCTGCTCAAACACAGTGCATCACCAAAATGACGCATTGTCCGGAAATTTTTAAGCTGTACATTCTTGGTTTCATGCACTCTTACAGACTTGCTCTCTTAGCATAGGGTATTATTGCTGATGTGTCACTCTACATGAGTACATGGAAAGCAGTCTGTATACCGGCTCTGTTTGCTCATGTTTATTTCACCCTCGGTCAGGTCGGCGATCTTTTCGGCATTGCTGGCAATCACTGGGACGGCTACTCAAAGGGCACCAACCGTCGTACCGGCCGACTCGGCATGTACCCGGCGTACAAGGTGGAGGAAGTGCAGCAGACTTACGATGCTGTTCGCAGATAGTAAAGCGCCTGTGTGAAGCTGCCAGCGTACACTGCAGCACCGCACGGCATTGCGCAGACGTCCGAGTTGTCGGCGTGTCATCCTTGCTGCTCACCGGCATGATCGCCCATGTCTATTTGTGTTGGACCTCTTCTGCGAGGCTGCACCGAGTGACGGCAGACTTCAAGTCAGTGTGTAGATGTACATGTGTGTGTGTGTGTGTGAAGCTGGAGTAGAGCTTGCACTGTTATGTGCGTGGCATGGTACCTTGGTGTGGCCCAGGCATTGGCCACTCACGCTCGTGTTTGTCTCCCGTGCGCCGGAGGCAATTGCAGATTGCAACTCGTATCGGTGGACGGCCTGTGCAGATTGAATGCCAACATCTGGTACCGTGTTGCTTGTATTATGTATTAGTCAGGTGTGGCGAATTTACTACACCGGACTCACCCATCTTGTACATTTCACCCCCCCCCCCCCCCATAGTAGCTTGGTAGAACTGCGGACGGGTTTGGCAGCTATCTGCTGCTACCTGGAGTACGGCTGTACAGGAGAATGTGTATATACCTATGCCGTTTGTACATGTCGGCGCGCTGACATTAGTAGGGTTATCTGTGCAGTGCGTCAAGACATGCTAGCCGTGTGCGAGTGTGTGGCGCTGTGCAATGTAATGCTCCTGCAAGCAACACAGCTCACCGTAATCAGCTGATGTGGCTTGCAGAGCACATTGGCCTGATGTGCAGCGATGTGTGTATATACGCCTTGAACAGACGGAGCTGACAGCTTGTATATGTAGTGCATGGGGTAGTAGTAGTCTGTGGACTGGTAGTCCTACGCTTGCTGGGGTAGTCCTACGCTTGCTGGGGTAATCCTACGCTTGCTGGGGTAGTCCTGCGCTTGCTGGCACCGCAGTTGCAATACTGTAGAACCATGGACAAATGGCGTTGAATATTTCTTTGACCTTTTTACATTTTTGATCTGTGTTCCTTTATTTTCAATTTTTCTTTGAGTTTGGCTAATTTATGAATGCACTGCCAGTGCAGTGCCAGCTGGCAGTGTTGCTGTGGGGAAAACCCCTTTCCTCTTCAGACTATGGCTGTAGCACTATCCTTTACGGTATCCGTGGGCAGTCCGTGGTGATAATCCTCACGCTGCTGGCAGTAATGTTTGCTGAGCCAGACTATTATAATTATTTTGATGACTATCTCTCTTGTACATACCTATCACCAATGCAAATAATTATTATGGAGTGTCCTGATCCCTCATCAGGGCACGTAACATGCACGTATTCAACATCACAGAATAGCACATGAATGCCATGACGTTGAAGGCACAGCGCGCGCGCGTGTGTGTGTGTGTCTGTCTGTCTGTCAACTATTTACTTCAACAAATAAGACAGGAAAAGGATGAATACAGATATCATTAGTATTCATTAGAAACTCCCTCCCTCTCTTTCTCTCTGATGATGACAAAATTCACCGGCCAGAAAAAGCCACTTCAATCAGCTGTGTGTAGGATACCAGGCTAAAATTAATGGCAGTCAATTCATCAGCCTTGCAAGCTGTTGAATGGTGGAATCCCAGCACAAGTTGCTATGTTTTGCTATGTCTAACATAGCTGTTCGCTATCATGATTCATGGCTTCCGCGATGGCCAGGTCTGATGACAGTGATGTGTGTGTGTGTGTGTGTGTGTGTTTTAAAAGTGGGACCATTTACAAGTCCACCCAGAGTCTCTTTCTCTCTCTCTCTCTCTCTCTCTCTCTCTCTCTCTCTCTCTCTCTCTCTCTCTCTCTCTCTCTCTCTTTCTCTCTCTCTCTCTCTTTCTTTCTCTCTCTCTCTCTCTCTCTCTCTCTCTCCACCAAAGTCCCCAAGTAAGGCCGTGGCAGAGCTGGAGACTGCAATGGCATGAGCTCGGAGTGCTTGGTACCCGCAAAGCCACAACTGTCTGTAGTCAGAGAACCATCGTATGAGTCATAAAATTTAATCATAATACATTGTACACCACAAGTGAGCGGTTATTCTAAGCCTTGTCTGATAGGTTAACAGGCTGACTGACATCATGTAGCGGAGGACGCATGTGTCGAAGACAGTGCTCCTGACTGCGACCATCATCGGTTGGGCCTTGGCAGCATGGGGACATCACCACGTCCTCGTCTAGCCCTCTCATGACAGTGACTGTTGAGCATCTCAAGAGCTGAGAGAAGGATGCCATGCCCGGGCAGAAGTTGGAAGAAGAAAGAACAACAGAAACAAAACTGAAAAAGGATGGTCAGCCAATTTAACGTGAGCCAGTTGAGCCAACTTGGTGGAGAGGTAGTCATAACGATCAGCGGCTGGGGGAAGACATTAGAGATTTACACTACATACATATATAGACTGACGTTTTAAAAACAAGGACCAAGATACTCAAGTGACGTCACCAGACTTCGGGTAAAAATATGAAAAAAAGACTCCCTAGAATAATGAGGGTTCGAACCAGGGAGTCGTAAAAGCCCGGGAGAGGACACGGGATGCGCGCACGCGGACGATGTTTGCCTCGGCCAGAAAGTGAAGCACGCTAGGCCGGCGCGGCCGGATCTGCTCGATCCACGGCGCTGTGCTTGTCTTCAGGGCAGGGAGTCCTAAAATACCAATATTTTACAACTCGTTGTTGACACCATTATCCGAAACTGGTGGCGAAGGAAGGATAAACAATGATTGTATGTCTGTCAGACTCAGTACAGGGGTGGGGAGTTGAGTGTGTGTGTGTGTGGGGGGGGGGGGGGGGGAGGCGTGTGTATGTGCACATGTGCTTGTACTTTTGTGTGTGTTTGTACAGTGTTTGTGTGTGTGCTTGTGTGTGTGCGCGCGAACGTGTGTGTGCATTTTTGTGCACAATTCCGTTATGAAGTACAAATGATAGGTTTACCTTTTGTACACTCGCCAAGACTTCCGTTTCCTAAACGGCTCAAGTCACCGCGTACTCAGTATACGAGTAGAAAAGTGTTGAAATTATCAAGATTTATAAATAACGACCTGCAACCATGTACAATGTAGATAGATAGGGAACACACATTGATTGTTTTTAAAAGAATCCAGGCATTATCATGAATCATGGAACGAGTGCGTAATAATGCTCTATGTTGCGTTTTGACGATGCTGAAGGAAGGGAGCCGTCGCGATTTACTCACAACACACGCACAGAAGTCCACTCGACTGCAATTTCTGACACAAATTCATAAATCCACGAGTACGCCGAGGAAGCTCAGCGGATCTCCACAAGAACTTTCGCCCATCACCTGCAATGGAATATGGGCTGTATGATACGACCAGTGGTTAACACGGGAAGTGGCGTCATTTTCCACAAATCTCGTTTCATTCACAACCATTTGACTGCAATTCAGTGCAATTTCTGCCGCAAATTCAACTCCACGAGTACGAGGAAGCTCAGCGGATCTCAACACGAACGTTCGCCCATCACCTGCAATGGAATATGGGCTGTATGCTACGACCAGCGGCTAACACGGGAAGTGGCGTCATTTTCCACAAATCTCGTTTCATTCACAACCATTTGACTGCAATTCAGTGCAATTTCTGCCACAAATTCAACTCCACGAGTACGAAGAAACTCAGCGGATCTCAACACGAACGTTGGCCCATCACCTGCAATGGAATATGGGCTGTATGCTACGACCAGCGGCTAACACGGGAAGTGGCGTCATTTTCCACAAATCTCGTTTCATTCACAACCATTTGACTGCAATTCAGTGCAATTTCTGCCACAAATTCAACTCCACGAGTACGAGGAAACTCAGCGGATCTCAACACGAACGTTGGCCCATCACCTGCAATGGAATATGGGCTGTATGCTACGACCAGCGGCTAACACGGGAAGTGGCGTCATTTTCCACAAATCTCGTTTCATTCACAACCATTTGACTGCAATTCAGTGCAATTTCTGCCACAAATTCAACTCCACGAGTACGAGGAAACTCAGCGGATCTCAACACGAACGTTGGCCCATCACCTGCAATGGAATATGGGCTGTATGCTACGACCAGCGGCTAACACGGGAAGTGGCGTCATTTTCCACAAATCTCGTTTCATTCACAACCATTTGACTGCAATTCAGTGCAATTTCTGCCACAAATTCAACTCCACGAGTACGAGGAAACTCAGCGGATCTCAACACGAACGTTGGCCCATCACCTGCAATGGAATATGGGCTGTATGATACGACCAGCGGCTAACACGGGAAGTGGCGTCATTTTCCACAAATCTCATTTCGTTCACCCCAACTCAAATAAAAGTGAAGTACAATTAGGGATTTGTCTTGCATTTCCATCGCCTCAGAATAAATTAACTTCGATAAACTGAGAGAGAATGAGTGAGGCAGCTGGAAGATGAGGATGAAAATAGAGATCAGAAGACTCGACGGAGCAATCGTCTCCGTGCTCTAAGAGAAATCGGAGAATGTCCCAATTAGTATTTCAAGAAGACATCACAATTTTCGAAAATAATAATTTCCTTGCCTCGCAACACCGTTCCCTGGCAGCGTTCCCCGGCAGCGCGAGGCAAAGATGTTTTCTGGGAATGTGTGCCGTGTCCTCTCCCGGGCTTTTACGACTCCCTGGTTCGAACCCGCGATATTCATGTTAAAACAAAATGGCGTCACGATTTATTGAAAGTGGTATAGTTGGTGGTACGAGTGTTCAAACCAGGGAGTCGTAAAAGCCCGGGAGAGGACACGGCACACATTCCCAGAAAACATCTTTGCCTCGCGCTGCCGGGGAACGCTGCCAGGGAACGGTGTTGCGAGGCAAGGAAATTATTATTTTCGAAAATTGTGATGTCTTCTTGAAATACTAATTGGGACATTCTCCGATTTCTCTTAGAGCACGGAGACGATTGCTCCGTCGAGTCTTCTGATCTCTATTTTCATCCTCAATTCTTCCAGCTGCCTCACTCATTCTCTCTCAGTTTATCGAAGTTAATTAATTTATTCTGAGGCGATGGAAATGCAAGATAAATCCCTAATTGTACTTCACTTTTATTTGAGTTGGGGTGAACGAAATGAGATTTGTGGAAAATGACGCCACTTCCCGTGTTAGCCGCTGGTCGTATCATACAGCCCATATTCCATTGCAGGTGATGGGCGAACGTTCGTGTTGAGATCCGCTGAGTTTCCTCGTACTCGTGGAGTTGAATTTGCGGCAGAAATTGCACTGAATTGCAGTCAAATGGTTGTGAATGAAACGAGATTTGTGGAAAATGACGCCACTTCCCGTGTTAACCGCTGGTCGTATCATACAGCCCATATTCCATTGCAGGTGATGGGCGAACGTTCGTGTTGAGATCCGCTGAGCTTCCTCGTACTCGTGGAGTTGAATTTGCGGCAGAAATTGCACTGAATTGCAGTCAAATGGTTGTGAATGAAACGAGATTTGTGGAAAATGACGCCACTTCCCGTGTTAACCGCTGGTCGTATCATACAGCCCATATTCCATTGCAGGTGATGGGCGAAAGTTCTTGTGGAGATCCGCTGAGCTTCCTCGGCGTACTCGTGGATTTATGAATTTGTGTCAGAAATTGCACTGAAATTGCAGTCGAGTGGACTTCTGTGCGTGTGTTGTGAGTGAATCGCAACGGCTCCCTTCCTTCAGCATCGTCAAAACGCAACATAGAGCATTATTACGCACTCGTTCCATGATTCATGATAATGCCTGGATTCTTTTAAAAACAATCAATGTGTGTTCCCTATCTATCTACATTGTACATGGTTGCAGGTCGTTATTTATAAATCTTGATAATTTCAACACTTTTCTACTCGTATACTGAGTACGCGGTGACTTGAGCCGTTTAGGAAACGGAAGTCTTGGCGAGTGTACAAAAGGTAAACCTATCATTTGTACTTCATAACGGAATTGTGCACAAAAATGCACACGCACGTTCGCGCGCACACACACAAGCACACACACAAACACTGTACAAACACACACAAAAGTACAAGCACATGTGGACATACACACGCCTCCCCCCCCCCCCCCCCCCCCTCCCACACACACACTCAACTCCCCACCCATGTACCATGTGTACTGAGTCTGACAGACATACAATCATGTTTATCCTTCCTTCGCCACCAGTTTCGGATAATGGTGTCAACAACGAGTTGTAAAATATTGGTATTTTTGGACTCCCTGCCTGAAGACGAGCACAGCGCCGTGGATCGAGCAGATCCGGCCGCGCCGGCCTAGCGTGCTTCACTTTCTGGCCGAGGCAAACATCGTCCGCGTGCGCGCATCCCGTGTCCTCTCCCGGGCTTTTACGACTCCCTGGTTCAAACCTATTTGAACTTCATACTGTTCGTCTTCTTTTTGACATGCTCTCTTTCCATCGTCCTTAGCTTTTGTTTGTTGAGAGCTGTTTTGGCTTTCTCCTATACCTCTGGGGGATGCCAAGTGATGGTTTTGAGAGGCTGGTGATGGCTGTGAGCGAGAGTTTGCCGATCGGCGTCGTCCTCGCTATAGCGATGAAAATACTAGTTACTGCGCACCTGGCAGATATCACAACACGTCGGAGCGTCCAGGAGCAAAGGAATCTTGGGTTTTCACTGGAATCTAGTTCCTCCAGCATCGTGTAGCCCACCGTCGGTGAATGGCGGTCCAGAAAGGTCGAACCTGGTCTTCTGCAGCATCTCGCAGTCCTGCGAGGCACACTGAATACGCCTGTCATGTATTCTACAAATAAAAATCACGAAGTAGTGGACTTAACAGTGATGAGTCTATCCTGTATGCTGCAAAAGACGCAGGAAATGTGACTGGTGTCTGTACACTCAGTGACTGGACGCCAACACCCCAGTCTTCTCCTGCAGGATCTGTTTGACATTGACATTATGCAGTAGGTCGGCATTGACCTGGTTTGGCAGCTATCGTAATAGTATCTGCCTGGTTGGATGTAGCAGGTTGGTGTTTGCTCGTTGTCCAGTCCGGAATTTTCTTGTAACTCACGGTGGAGTACGCGCAGGGTTTGTGATCATCCCTGTTCACTTCAATATTATCAAACACAACTTTCCCTTTGTCACTCATCTTATCCTGAGTACTGAATTTGCTGACAATATTGCACCACACTTGTCACAGCCTACCGCCACTGCTGGCGGTGGCGACTGGTTCGTCAATGGCGGTGACCAGGCTGACTGACTAGCTTCGAGACAGCGGCCTCGTCAACCCCGCGGCAGCCTAAAGGTTGATTTTATCGATCCAGCCTCAGCGCCATGTTGACGATGCCCTAGTGACTGTGTGTCATGGATTGCCTTGCCATTAGCGGTCATTCCCGTCCACCTTGGTGCAGCCCTCAACAACTGGCTCAGCCCATGGGAGTCTCAAGTGGACAAAGTTGTTGCCAAAGTAGCTCAGAAGATTGGTGCATCGTGGTGTAGGTGAGCACATAACTAGGACTTCCCAGCGCCTATTTGTCCAGGCTGCGATACTATGTGACATGCTGTACTGCACATTCTTTTCAGCACTGCAAGGCCGGCAGCTGGACCGACTGCAGGGGCCGCGCACATGCAGGCCGCCTGTTGCCAGTGCAGCATTCTGGAACGTTCCTTCCTTCTGAGATCCGTGGAATAATAACTTTCTTTGCTTCAAAGCAAGTTGCTTACCTTTCTGTTGTGCTCCCAGTGTCCTTACAACAATAACCTACAGCAATGTTTTATTTTCCTTTCCATTCCCCAACCAATGAATACTACGATGTCGATTATATTTCTGAATACTTTAGTGTGTGCCCGCGCACGCACGTGTGTGTGTGTGTATACCTCACTTGCCACTCGAAGTTCTGTTCCCCATCACCATGATCACTGGAACACTGCCTGTTCTTTCAGGACCTGCCATCATCTGCGGATGGGCATTCAATGATTGTATTGTGTGTGTGTTTCATTCAGAATCAGATCCGCTATCGTTGCTATAAAAGAAAATCTGTGGGTTCACATCTAGTGCATTTGTAGATTTGCGTGCTTTTCTCGCCACGGGCGCATACATGGGACATTGTGTGTGTGTGTGTGTGTGTGTGTGTGTGTGTGTGTGCGTCTGTGTGTATGGGGATATTGTCTGTATCGGCTTTTGGTACTAATGTTCAGGTCTGTGCTTGCATGTGTGAACATGAAATTGTTCGGTTCTGTGCATGCTATTGCTATGTTGTATTATTGTATGTATGTGCGCATTTCCACGAACAGTGTAGATGAGCGTGGAGAGTGCATTCATCCCTCATCAACCACTTCCCCTTGGGCTTACGAGAGTTTTTTCTGCGTACCTCTCATTTTTGTTTGTTTCTCTCTGATACTGTATTGATGCCGGTACCTGTACCTCGATCTGTTCCTCTATCTGCAGTCGCCTTTAACCTTCGGTCAAGTTAACGTTTATTGTGCTCTATTTATCGTGCGAATCAAAATAAACAATAATAACACAAGTCGTGCTAGAGTGACGACATGTGCGTGTAGTAGGGTTGATGCGATGGGCCGTTATAATTAGGTGGAACAGAACACACATTGGGCAGATTGATTGGGCATCATTGATTGTGCTCAGTCTAAACAGTGAACATAATAATTATCTCCAGTGACAGACTGTAGCGGCTAGCCTCCAGTAGGTAGCTGGCACTAGTCGCTACTGCTTGTTTGACAGGTGCCGCCAGAACCCCTGTTGTGTCATGCTATAGATGCACATGCCCTATTCTGGGGCATACTGAGGTACTTTGATTTTGTTGACTGCATGTAGACAGCATCCAATAGTAGTACTCGTAGACCTTGGCTCTTTGTAGGTCAACCACCATCGCATGGATCGATCGGTGACTATGCACTTGGAGGTTGGAATAGCCCGCGCTGAACAGATCTTGCCATGGCCCAGGGAGTGAACTCGCTTACTCGACTATCCCGGTTTTAGTTAACCAGCATGAGTAGTGCAATTTGTCCATACCATGTTGCGAGCTCACAGTTGTTTGGGCAGGCTTTGAGCTGCACCACGAAACAAAGCGAAATAACGGCGTGACTGTAGAGCAAGGAAGCGGCGAGACGGCACTTCCAGGACGAGACAGGCAGTAGAGATGTGTTCACAGCACGAGCAACCTCTCAAACCCTGCCGGTACTCCACAGTTACAAGCAAAGAAAATGTCGGACTGGACGCGCCAATGCAAACCTGCTACATCCACCCAGGCAGATAGCTGCCAAAACCAGGCCAATGTCGACCCACTGCATACCGGTATGTCAATGTCAAACAGATCCTGCAGGAGAAGACTGGGATGATATTGGCGTCCAGTGTACGGACACCAGTCACATTTCCTGCGTCTTTTGCAGCATATAGGATAGACTCATCACTGTAAAGTCCACTACTTCGTGATTTTTATTTGTAGAATACATGACAGGCGTATTCAGTGTGCCTCGCAGGACTGCGAGATGCTGCAGAAGACCAGGTTCGACCTTTCTGGACCGCCATTCACCGACGGTGGGCTACACGATACTGGAGGAACTAGATTCCAGTGAAAACCCAAGATTCCTTTGCTCCTGGACGCTCCGACGTGTTGTGATATCTGCCAGGTGCGCAGTAACTAGTATTTTCATCGCTATAGCGAGGACGACGCCAATCGGCAAACTCTCGCTCACAGCCATCACCAGCCTCTCAAAACCATCACTTGGCATCCCCCAGAGGTATAGGAGAACGCCAAAACAGCTCTCAACAAACAAAAGCTAAGGACGATGGAAAGAGAGCATGTCAAAAAGAAGACGAACAGTATGAAGTTCAAATAGGTTTGAACACTCGTACCACCAACTATACCACTTTCAATAAATCGTGACGCCATTTTGTTTTAACACGCATACGGTCCACTAGCCCTTTCCCAAAGATGCTCGCCGCTTTTTTCGCTTTTCGTTGTTTTGGAAGAAGACGCAACTTTATTCACTTTGCGAACTACTGTCTTCGCAACTTTTCCGCAACCTTGACCTAATGGTACGTATGGGTAAAAGCATAAGTAAATTTATTAGTTGCGAAAATTATGGCATCTTTGGGAAAGCCAGTCCGAACCGGGGCCAGACGCCATACGGCTCAAACGGTCGTCAAGACCTCGGACTCTGCCAACCGATGATGGTTGTATAATATGTAGTCAGGATAATTTAATATAATAATAATTATAACCCAATACTAGTTCAAAACTAGTACTAGTATTAGATAAACCTTGTTATAGTTCACGCATATTGTTAGATTGACAGCATGAAACAAGGGGGAGCCTCGGACACTGAGTTCGGAAACAGTGTGGAAGGACTTAGGTACATAGACCCTTTGCGCAATAAGCGAGAGGGGTCGAGACGGGGCATGCTGTGCACGCGCTGCACACTTGGCATGCAACCAGCATGCACGGTTTTGCTGCAGGACGTGATCAAGTTTCCTGTGACAGGCTGTGTTTTCACGGTCCCGACGCGATGTTCATGTATGTACTCCCCAGCCTTTTTCATTTTCAAGTTTTTCTAGTTCTGAAGGAAGAAGTCCCGAAACGCTTTCCAAGGACCACTGTTGGGTTCTTGTTTGCAGCAACCGTCATCCCTAACGTTAGTCTAAGGAACCCACTTGTCTTTCCATGCGTTCCCTGGTGATGCTGGCATTCCACACTCTGGAATCCTGGCTATCTGGCGAGAAGAGGGCCGGGTACCGAGGGCCGCAGTGCTGCGATATCGTTTACAGTGTTGTGCTCGGAACACTTTGTCCATGACGACTTTCATCCTTGCTTTTGCGAAGATATGGAACGCCCTGCCAAGAGACTCTGGAGCTTGAGAAAAAGGCATGACCCATCCCTGTCTTCGCTATTGGAAGATCGACTGCTTGCTGGCGCTGCTCGAGCTGCTGTTGTTGAAGTGGAGAGAGACGCTGCCTCATCGCTCAGGTGTGTGGAGAAAGTCATCTGAGTTCGAGCTGTGGCTGTGTGCACGATATGACAGACTTTCACATTATGCACATAGCCACCAAAGTAAAACTCATGGACACTATCCACGGGCTTGTTCACTAGTACTACTCCATCAGCTCCCTCTTCACTGTCATCGGCGATTCGCCCCTGCGTTGGAGACGAGCAAGCATGGTGTGGCACTCACTCTGGGAAACAGAGGTTCATCACTCATCCACTGGGACGCATGAAATGTTGGGCATGATGAAGGTACACTCGAGGAAGTGGTGCCCTTCTTAGTTCTAGGAGCATCAGGGTTCTGCATGGAGAAGTGTTCTCTACATCGACAGAGGAGAGAAGGTAGAGAAAATAAAAATAAATTTCAATCTACAGTAATCCGAAATATCCACTGAATGCGGAAAACTTACCGCTCCAACAACTCCTTCGTTTTCCAGACAGATACGCACCCTCATTCAGCAGAAAACTGTTCAGTTCCTTACACAACCGATCTTCATTTGACAGTTCGTCCACGGGTTCCACAGCCATCGATGGCAAACCACTCGACACTCTCTCCTCCATCTCCAAAATGGAAAAATACAGTGTTCCACCATGCTCAACAACTGATACTCTGCACAAAAATCGAAGAGGATGCCCCGTCTCGGATCACGTGACCGTTATTGTGCAAAGGGTCTATTGTAAGTTAGGTTGTAGTAAGGTCACTGTTTCCGAACACATAATCATTGTCCTCCACCTTGTTTCATGCTGCCAATCTAACAATCAGGAGCACTGTTTTTCAACACAGTGCTCCGCGTTGTAGATCTGCCTGTCAATCGATCAACAAGTCAACGTAGATCTACGCACTACACTGACAGCGCTAGCGCCGCTAGTACAATTATGTACATGATGATGTACAGTTGTATATAGCCGGCGGCCTTGTCGAAGTCGAAGGATCCAGAAGCGCCTACCCGACCGCACGCACGGACTGCAGACACTGTCACTGCATGCAGACACTGTCCCTGCATGCATGCACTGGTGCCAGTGACTGCGTGGAGTCTGCAGACTGAATAGAAAAGAAGACAGTCAGTGAATGTCAGAAGTGAAGCACTGAAGGCTTGTGAAGCTGAGCGACGCGTAGATGTCCAACAACACCCGACGCTGCATGCACGCGAGGCGCATGCCTTTCTGATTTTCATATCCAGTGAAAATAATCATGCGGAACTGTATGATGCACTTGTCTGCACTGCAATCTACATCACGTCAAGCATGTACTACTGATTGTACTGTTTTGTCTGTGTGTGCATAAAATCCTCGCAAAATCTGCGCCAGCGACGTCGTTGAACTGCTGAAGTCAAGAGAGTGAGACTCTCTCTCTCGTCTCTGTCACAGCCTAGCGATACCTGTATATCGTGGGAATATCTGTGTTACACTTCGTTGGAAACAAAAGGTTTGGTAACCTGGCTCAGAGAGAGACACCCAGGCCAAGCTTGGTCACAAACGCGTTGGATCGATCGGTGGAGTTGTCGAAACGTCGCAGTGGACTCGTCCTTATAGCTTAGCAGAGCACCACCACTGGGGAACAAGAAAAGAAAGAAAAAAACAGGTCGGAGCAGGTCGCCGGGCGCAATGGGCGAAGCAGGCGAAGAAGCGAGTTCACCGCTGATCACCATACACCTTCTCTCCGACACATCATGACCCTGGTAAGTTAGTTGTACGTCAACGCACTGGGCTTTCAGGTTTACCGCTGCTCCCCAAATGCACTCCCTTGACGTCTGTTGTTGACAATCATGTTCCCTGAAATACCTGGAGTGATAATTTTGCTCCATTTTGTTGTGTGCTGGAATATAGACTGCTTGTAATAAGAATAACGAAGCCGAATGAATGCCGTTATCCAGTCTTACCAAAATGTACTTCAGGTTTTCGTGGTAGCTGAAATACAGGTACAGATCAACCATTGTAACAGTTAGTGGTGTTCTTTCCTCCATGTCGCCTCGAACCGGTGATTTTTGGTGATATTCATTGCGTTTCTAGTTGTCATTATGCGGGCGTAGTTAGCGACCCTGCGGTTCATTCTGGGCGTCCGTGATTCTCCTTTTCGACTTCGTGACAATAAAGATTATAATTATAAATTTAAAAATGTGAATTGTTTTTGATTGCAAAATCACACGGGCCTGGAACATTCTCTGCATAGTGTCACGTGACAAGTAGTTGCTGCCAGGTGGTAGTATGACTCATTGAATGCTGCATGTGTGTGCAATGCACCGTTACTAACTCATCGGCATACCAGTTCACCGAGTACTTACCTCGACTTTTGTCTGACCGCAGCTTGGTACTCAGTGCAAGCCTGATTTTCAGCTCGTTTAACCCTTTAGGGCCCACAATTATTTCAAGAAATGCACTGCATACGCAAGCCCGGGTACTTATCTGGTCGTAACTTTGGTGTCCTTTGGCCGATTTTGGTGATCTTGGGCTTTCTGGAAAGCTCTTGGCCAGAGGAATACAGCGATAGCCAGCAATACATCACTCGATCCACAGAACCAGCGCCGCAGCGCGATACGGCGCTCCAAAGCCAGCATTGCGAGCGCCCAACTCAAATTCTCTGCCATTTCAACAAATTGCATCGCAGATCGCTCAAATTTTTTTTACTGGAGAGCTGAGAAACATGCCTTTGCGATGACGTGAACTATCTGTAGCTGCGTGGGCCGCGAGTCAGGGAAAACCCCTAAAAACGAGTTCAAAATGCACGCGCTCGAGTTGACTCTGCTGAGCGAATTTAGTTCGAGTCTCGTATCTCCGCTCTCCGAACTCGGATCGCTTTCGGGTTTTTTCGAGCCGATAGCTGAGACAATTCTAATGTCGATATCCCTTTCGATTGTCCGATTTGGTCAAGGGACGGCCGAGTTACGCCAGGTTGCGCTTTGAAAAGTATGCACTGTACACTGGTACGGATATATCCGTACTATGGGCCTCAAAGGGTTAAATCTCAGCCTCCTAGGACTCAGACAAGTCGTGGCAATGGGTATTGTGGGTGGGTGCACTCATGCGTGCAGGGCATCAGGATATTGTACCGTAAGTTGGTGCGCGCACATACATTACATCCAGAATCTCCGGTACGAACACTGTGGACACACTTAGGAAGCGGGTGGATTTCTTGTCAGCATTGTAGTGGTGAACCGTTAACGGTTCAATTGTATGCCTGCAAAACATACCCAGGAACGTTTCCCAGTACTACAGTACCTTTGTATCTCTGTTATCCGAACCACGGAAGTCACGCTGGCCACCTCGGTCTATGGGGCACGCTGCGGGTGATTTTGGTGGAAATGTTGCTACATTTTTGCCAATTTTGTGTAAAGAGTGACATCATATTCCGGATCTCTACCCCTGCCACTTACGATGTACATGCCTGTATGTGATTCAGAGTTATGAACAATTCGTAGCTCTGGACAGTGTCTGTCTGAATGGGGTCTGTGGGTATCCCGCGGCCAGGGGCCGAGGAGCAGTGGCTTGCCGCACCAGCACAGGTTCCTTCTTGGAGTCTCTACCCTTCCCCGTTGTTGTGTTGTCCTGCTACTTCTCTCCCCTCTTCTTACCAGCAGGTTGTGTCTTCAGTAAAAATAAACGAGAGAGCTTGGAAGCTCAGGGCCCTACGCTATGCTTTTTTCCCTTCATGACCTAGACAAAAAAAGCATAGGGATGTTATAAATTCTTATAAGTTTATACTTTTTGTTTTTAGACATAACCTTGGATTCGAACCCGCACTATCGCCCTGCATGCATCCCCCAATGCACTTCGCATACATATTTGAAAGCCCTATTATATTATTATACATTGTGGCCAGCCGTCTTTGATTGTACGGTACGGTACGGGATAGGTACGGGACAGGTACGGTCGAGGGTAATACGACACCGTCTAACGCCTTGATGACGGCAAAAAATGAAAAGGGATGTTAAAAATTTTTCAATTCTCCTTTTTTTTCAGGCACTACTTGGGATTCGAACCCGCACTATCGCCCTACATGCATTCCCCCATACACTTCGCATTCATACTCATTCTTCCAAGTTGCTTCACGTTATGATCTTGTGTTTGAAAGCCCTATTTGAATATTGCGGTCAGCTGTATGTGGCCAGCTGTGTTTGATGGTACGGTACGGTACGGGACAGATACGGGATGGCGCCAGGCGTGACACAAACAAACAAACAAACACCAAATTAAAGCTGTGTGGACCCTGGCTAGCGCCAGGCGTTACTGAAGTAACGTCTTCTGCATAGCTACGGGAATAAAAATAAGGTAAGGAAGCGGCGCTCCCTTTTTAAGCCAAAGCATATTTCGGATTCTAGGAGTCTGAAACAGCAGAGCAGGGCATTCTCGTGAGCAATCCTAGTAAGAAAGGGAAGATCGTTTTCGGTCGGTTTGTCGGAACAACGTACAAATCAGAGTGTTTCTGAGAAATTGGAACAAGTGGCAGCCCTCCATACTGTCGTCGTGGTGATAGTCGAGTCGTGAGACTCAGCGGAGAGCACGGTGTGGTGCTGCGTCAGTATCCTACATGCTTTTGTCATCTCGCTGTGTGCGGGGCAGCAGCATGCAGCCCTACCAACTGCTCACCACCACGTTCTTCTTGTGCACAGGAATCGTGTTGCTTTCGCGTTGAAATCGCCTTTTCGTGTCTCCTTGTCCTTGCATGCGCATGGATGACAGCCAAGCTCTTGTGACCTGTCGCAGGTCACGATGTGCAAGACTGCCCATGGGCTGATATTGGCTTCCTCCTCAGTGCTTTGCCATGGCTCTAGTGTTGTAGTGTGCTTTTAGAATTTCGATTGTCATGCACCTGGAGTGCCCGTATGGCCTCCTTGCAGGACCTTGATGATACGGACGGGCATGCACATGAGTTGACGTTGTTCACCAGCGGTTTCACCAATGTTCATTTATGCTTACTAGTGCTGACGTGCGCACAATAGGGTAAAGATTATGGGGGCTAGCAGGCAGACAGAAGGGAAGGAGTGAAGTTATATACCGTCGTTTCCGGAGTATTAACCGCACTTAAAACACTCGTAATTCACCCCGAAAAGTCAGTGTGGTTTAGGGTGCGTTTGGTTGGTACGATCTAGAACAGGATCAAACAGCTGGTGCACATGGAACAGCCTCATGCCAAAGTCAGTGTGGTTTAGGGTGCGTTTGGTTGGTACGATCTAGAACAGGATCAAACAGCTGGTGCACATGGAACAGCCTCATGCCAAAGTCAGTGTGGTTTAGGGTGCGTTTGGTTGGTACGATCTAGAACAGGATCAAACAGCTGGTGCACATGGAACAGCCTCATGCCAAAGTCAGTGTGGTTTAGGGTGCGTTTGGTTGGTACGATCTAGAACAGGATCAAACAGCTAGTGCACATGGAACAGCCTCATGCCAAAGTCAGTGTGGTTTAGGGTGCGTTTGGTTGGTACGATCTAGAACAGGATCAAACAGCTGGTGCACATGGAGCAGCCTCATGCCAACCAAACGGTACTCCAGAAACAGAGCATATTTTGTGAAAAATATGCCAAACTTGGTTCACTCTTCAAAATGTGTATGGGTCACTGTGTACTGTACGACGAGTCCAACCCAAAAGGGTATGCACGTGATCATTTGGGACCGAAATTGATGTTTCCGCCAGGTTTCACTGTGAAAAAGTGAAACTGCTCGGTCTGCTCCGGCCTCGAGGCCGGAGCAAGCAGAGCACGCGAAAAGGGCCCTTATGGTGATTTTCAACAAAATTCAGCTGATGGCATTTTCAGGTTGCCAGTGATTGTAGAAATCGAATAAAAAAAATTGACTCAATTTGGCCAACTCTAATCAAAGTTACGGCTCCTGCCGTGGGCTCGTTTTTTACGGAAAATGCGGACATGTAGATAAGGGGGGTAAGAAACTCCTAGACATTCAGCCAGAGGAGACTGGTTGCAATAGCCATGGAGAATATCTCAGCCAAAGTACAGCATGTGTACACAGTTACAGTCAAAAGACAAAATTGAAAGAACAACCTGTTGAAATCTTTGTTATGTACACAGTAACTAGGGAGTCATCCACCATGGAGTACTACGCAAGAAGCGGACCCAGAATGTGGCTTTTGGCAAATAGTTGCAACGGAAGTTACAGTAACAGCAACAAACATTGTTCCCCAAGCACCAGGTGACCGGGTTCATATGCACTCTCTTCTCAGTTTCAAGGCGAGAGCTGACTAGAAGCAGCGGGGGCAGGGCAGAGAGTGTCTTGATGCTCCACAGCAACAAACGGCCGTATCTCCTTGTGCAAATACTCCTGGCGTGCTTGCGACAAGCTGCGGAAAGTAGACTCCGCTATAGCTCTCCATCCCTCTGACTTACACAGTGCCACAAATTCTGCATGGACTTCTTTGTATGTCTGGTGAGCTGGCAAGAAAACAGGAGGTACATCATCACGGCCGCGAAGAGGGGCTGGGTGTGGGATACCATAGACATCAGCGTGTCGCTTGATGAAGTCAAGGCAATTCTTGACATCAGCAAATTCCAGTGCATTGGGCGGCCTCCGCCCACGGTTACCATGTACTCTTGCTGTGACACCATGCTCATGGAGGTGCTTTCTCAAGTTCTTTAGCCGCTTCTCACTGATGTCGTACAAAGTCCTGAATGCAGCAACACAAATTTCAACTCCCTGGAATGAATAGCGAAAGCGCTGTCGCTGTCTCTTCTCTCCTGGCTTGTGGGACAAAGCAATTTCGTGTCGACCTGACTCGAGCAGTCCCAGTATAATCAGGTCACTCTCAGGTCGCTCGAGCTCCTTCATATTCAGCACATTCACTTCAACATCTGCCTCGTCAAACTTCCTAAAACAATTCAGGCTGCATCCGCACGAATAATTGCGATTGTGTTCAGCCGCTTCACCAGTCTGCATGGCTTCAGAGGGGCTACTGCTACTAGAAGTTGCCTGTGGAGCGGCGTGCGAGCTGTCCAAAGACATGAAGTCCATTGCTGCACTAGCTGTGTCGATTGTCGCAGCAAGGAAATGTTCTCGTTCGTCATCGCTGCTGTCAGAACTATCTTCACTTTCGCTCCCTGCGCCATCACTCGCACACTCGTCATCGCCATAAAACTCAGCTTCATCTTCTCTGAGAAGAAGATCCAGCGCAGCATCAACAGTGAAGCAGGTTCTCCGGCTCATGTTCAACTCGAGCATCCACTGATCCAGCTAGTGCAAGAAGAGCTAGAGAAGGGAACGGCAAGTGAAGCGCAACAAGAAAGAAGTACAATTGCCGTGCCAGCAGCTAGCTGCCCAAGCGCGCGCGTGCGAACCCACGAAATCAAAATCGCTGAAACTTTGGCTTCCGTAGCTCAATTTCATCGCGGTAACGCGCCCTTACACTACAATGGTCAAATGACATAATGAATGGTGATGATATACAGGGTTGATGTCTGGATTTCGTGACAAAAAACTGGGTGCCGCTTATACTCTAGTGCGGCTCATACTCTGGATAGTACGGTACCAATTGTTTTGGCAATGTTCTACTGTTTCTGCAGGTGTTGGGTTGCTAAGCGTCACCTGGAGGCGGCCATGGCTCAGCGCTGTGACCGCGCCGAGTTCCTGTTGAGCTGGCAACCGTACTTTCTCTTTGAAAGTGCGCCGGACGAGGGTATGCCGTTCGTCGAGTGGATGCGCAATGTGGCCGGCGAAGAAGCGGCGGGCAAGGCTCAGCGGCGCGAGGGAACGCTCTTCGAACTCTGCGATGAAATGGTAGGTTGACTACTGCACATGGAGTGCTAAAGGGGCACTCCGGCTTCATTTTTGATGAAGAGTTTTCGATGCCAAAACGAAGGTGATTGAAAGAGAAGACCTGTTCACCAAGAATGAGCGTCAAGAAATGATTGAGCCGAGCATGCAGACGACTTTTGAATTTTCCCAATCGAGCCCTCGAAATTTGTTTTCCTGCTCGACTTGATCGCTTGTGGACATTCATTCTTGGTGAAGAGGTCTTTTCTTTCACCTACCTGTACCTTTGTGTTGGCATGGAAAATCGACATTGAAAATGGAGCCGAGGTGCTACTTTATAATGTGTGTCTATCATAATTTATTTTGACCACAGTACACCATGCTATGTCTGTGATTTGACCTTGGACAAAGAGATTCAGCGAATGCCATCATAATTACTTCCTCCGACTTATTGAAATGTGCGGTTCAGTTTCAAGTTGTAGTACAGCACAAAGACAGATTGTGTGTTCACAATATTTTGTACAGCGACAGCTATCATCACATTGAGAGGAAAATTAGTCGCTCTCATCTGGCGAGGAGTCTGTGGATTCAGCGGTTTCCTCGCTTGGTGCTGCAATTCTGGCGGCCATTTCATCGCGGACTTTCTCAGCGCTCGTCACAAGTCGCTTTGGAAATCTCAGGTCGTGGCGATTCGCAGCAGATTTCGTCTTCGAGCTCGCCCGTGCTCCGGTGTGGTGTGAATACGTGTTGTCACCGCGGCTCTTGATGATGCCTTTGAAAGATGCGAAGAGACATCTCCACACACTCTCCATCCGCTCCGCAGGGTACTCAGACCAACATTTCTTCACAGCCTCCATCAAATCGGCGACATTCTCCTTTGTGACGAGCCCAGTGTCGCACTGCAAGCTGGCAAAGAACACCAGGTCATTGCAATTTAGGTCGGGCAATTGAGGCGGCTGTGTAACAACAACGATGTTGAATCCTTTCTTTTTCCCTTGCAATGACCAGTGCTTCAGGTTTGCTCTTGCAGTGTGGGGTTGCGCGCCGTTGTGCCTGAGGCCAGCCACAGGTTTCCTGAGTTACGGTAAAACCACCATAGCTTCTGACGCATCGAGTCAAACACGCCGTCTTTGCTGAGCATGACATGCCGTTACTCCTGTGCATTCGCAGTCACTGGCTGGAGAATGTCAGTTTCGCCAGCTACCGTACCCGTCCGTGAGTCGGATCGCTTCGCTTTGCGCTGCATTATCTACTGGACGACGCGCTCGCTCAAGTTTTGGCCAGGAAACTTCACCAACAAGCGCTGCATCCCACCAGGAGGCAGCCTGCTACTGCCTTTGGCGATCTTGTTGCATTCGCTGATGATTTTCCATCAATTCGGAGTGGAAACATCAGCGCCACGCTTCTGAACAGACTTAGGTGTTGCGGGAGGTGTACTCACGCCGTATAATTTGCAGCAACATGCTTCAAACGCCTCCGCGATTGCTTCTCCTTGCTCTTTTGGTTTGCTATTTTTCTCCAAATTAACCTCCGACCAACCGCAATAGGCGAAGACTCATGACAACAGCGCTGCCTTTCTGGATCCTGTATCTGTATGGATCCAAACTCACTTGGGTGGTTTTCTTCACGGCATGGTGACGCATTGGCCAGTCGTGACTAGACTGGGCCCTCCCGGTCAGGGACCCACTCCTGGTACAGAAACAGTATACACCTGCATGCTTCACAAGGGGCCTACCCACCACACACACTGTACTTCGCTGTGGGCAGAGCGGACCCAAAAGTCGTAATGTGTCGTTTACCAGGCTAAGAGGTTGATTTCTGATGGTTCACTTTCAAGCCCTATTCTGACCGTTGACCAGAAGGAGGTGTCAGAGACCTGTTTCAATGAGCTCGACATAGTGAGGACGATGGTCACCCCCTCTTGCTATTCGAGTACACAAACCTGCAATGAATTCCAGGAGACCCGTAACCCACTGACTACATGTTCTGGTAAAGCACAAGGTCTGCTCTTCTGGCTGCCTGGCTTTTCGCTGGTGCTGTTGGGCACCGTAGAATGAACAGGCTGGAATTTCACCAAGCACAGCGTACCAGTGTATACACGGTGACTCAACTGTGCATAGACTGTAGCACATGAACATAAGAATGGTCTACAGTCCATTCATTGGAAACTGGCCCGCTGGCTTTTGAAAGTCGGATTTGGGCCGAACTGAGGATCAAAAATCTGGGTTTTGGATCTGCTTCTCCATACAGTTTGCCATGGCATACCTGTCCTAATTTTGTAAAACCTGGCTGAATTTCTATTTCCCTGTTCTTGGACTTTTCTGGCCTCAAATGTGGCAAGGAGTAATTGCACGGGTCACACAACGCAGGATGTACTGTTGTTTTCACGATATCTACAACTATGTGAGAGAGACACCAAAAAGTGAGGGTGCCAGTTTCCAATGAATAGACTGTAGGCTTGGAGGCCGATCTCCGAGTTCTTCGGCGACCGACAGTGCTGTACGTGCGGTTTGTAATTGCCTATGAAGTTATGATGGTACTCCTGCATGAGCTATCGACGTAGACTAGATGATCTATTGAGTACTCTGGTGTTCGGTGCGGATAACACTTATAATAGTGCAATGTCCTGCCTATGTGTTGTGTGTTTGGCCCGGCTGGGCTACCGACGTGCAGGGTTTGAACTTGGATGCGGACAGGCGGCTGGGGAATACCGTGTACTCACATTGCCTTGTTGACTACGCTGGAAAGATCAGCCCTGCAGTACAGACTGAGCTGGTTGAAGTGCTCTTTGAGGGTAACCTGGCCAATGGAGAGCTCATCAGTGATATCAATTTCTTGTTGAGATGTGCAGAAAAGGTAGGATCTGTGCAAGTTCCTTTGAAGTTGTATAGGATTTGTAGAAGAACAATATTTTCCTGACTCGCACACTCTCTCTCTGTCTCTCTCTCTCTCTCTCTCTCTCTCTCTCTCTCTCTTTCCCCCCCTCTCTCTCTCTCTCTCTCTCTCTCTCTCTCACACACGCACACTTACTCTCACTCGCTCACTCGGCCTCAAGCGAAGGTCCTTGGTGAAGGTCCTTGGTTCGAGTCCTGGTGGTACCAGTCAATTTTTTCTTCAGACTTTTCCCTTTTCCTTTCCCTCAACTAGTGAATCTATTCACATTAGTAATACATCTCGCTTGATTGTAGTTTGCACCCCTTCCTATCCTTTGACGTTTAGTGTAAAAGCGGTGCAACTTACATGTATCTGGGAAAATGCTGTGCACGTCTATGTTTCTAGGCGAATAGAATTTAGCATGACACGAGCCAGTACGTGAAATAGAATGGTGAAAATGGCGCATTTCAGGTTAGTTTTAGGTTGTAACGGAGTAGGCATTTCCCAAATCGGCCGGCCGAAAATTTCGCCGAAAACTGTGGTTTTGAAGAAATCACCGATCCTTTGGCCGAATATGCATTTTTCGCACTGAATTCGCCGAAAATCGATGTTTTTGTGCCTCAGCAGTATGCAAATACAATCCCTGTAACCATAATGCTGCGAAAGGTGACTCTGACGTTAGGCATTAACGAAAACTGGTGAACAGGAAAAGACGACGAAATCAATGGCTATGAAGAAATAGACTCAGATGGAGAGCCATGGTTTAATTTATACAAAAGAGAAAGACCGAGGAACTTCCCTTCCTTATGCTATTTCTATAACTTAGAACCTTTCAAGTTGGAAGGCTGTTGGAGTGCGCATCCAAGATGTGCTAGAGCTGTTAGCCAGTTGGTTGTAGAACGTCAGTACCGTCGGTCAGTGTCGTGCAATGTTATCGCATGAGCTGATTGTGTGTTTAAAAGTAACTGGTGGTGTTAGTGGACAGTAGAGCGTAACTTGTAGTTCCTCGGTCTTTCTCTTTTGTATATGAAGAAATATCCGATAATTGCGCCGAATTTGCGAATTTTGCCCTGAATTCCCCGAAAACCGATGTTTTAGTGCCTCTAAAGCGTGCATGTAGATGTACACTGTACTGCGAGCGGTGAATTCCAATACTGCTTTGAGCCGAATTCTGACTTTTGGGCTCATAATATGGCCGAAATTGGACATTCTCTTAGCCGATTAGGCGAAAAAACGGGCCGATTTGGGAAATGCCTATAACGGAGCCTCTGTTTGTGTTCTCTTTCTACTGGGCGTTGTTGTAGGTGAACATCGACAAGGAAGGTGCCTTGGCACACATGCAAAACGCCGAGATCCAGCAGCAAATCATTGCCGCGTACAAGCAGACCGTGCAAGAAATCGGCGTGCCCAAGCTGCCGTTCACCATCATGACGTCCAATCGAAATCCCGAGCTCAAGCTGGCCTTCTCCGGGGATATGCCGCCGTCCACCATGGCCGCGATTTTCGACAAGTTGCTGGACAGCAGCACGGAGACCTAAGGACTCAAATTCTCTTCTCGTGTGAGACTGTTGATAGGGATTGTGTTCTTTCTGTGGGCAGTCCGGCATTGCCCAGTCGTGCAGGCTACGGGCATCCACCGCGTTCAAGTTCCAGGCCCTCGACCCAGACGAATGATGCCATCACCTTCAAGCTGCCCTGACCAGGCAGAGGGGTGTTGGCGGATACCTCCGATCTGTGTGTACGAGGGTCTGAACGTGTGTGCCGTGTTTGTGCCAATCCTGCTCAGTGCCTTGCAGAGCAATGGCCGTTGCCCTCTACTTTCGGGTACTTTGATTTCCGCATTCCACGCTCCATTCATAGCACTTTGATTAGTCTGCCGTCTTATACTCGTTTTCTCTCACAATAGCGAAGAGGTCAATGCCACCACCGACCTGCTTGCCATGACATTTGCAGATGGGAGACACCTTGACTTAGCAATGCATGCAGATGCGAGCGGCGAACAAGTCGCTCCCTCTGTTCATATACGCGCCTTTATTCGTCCTTGAGGTGATTCAGTTTCTAGTCCGGTGCCTGTATTCAGTGGCACGAAGTATGCGTATTTGGGTTCTTTTCTCTATCAGTGTCTACCACACGCGATGCTGCCGATGTGCCATAAACTAGAAACCGGTGGTGTTCACTGCTCAGATACGTGACTGTACTAGACTGTAGCACCGCCGTCATGTGCCGCTTCTTACTTTGCGTTCGGTGTTGGCATGCGCACTGCGCCTTATTAGTCATTGCTTGGCAACTCGCGTCTGGTCTTGATTCTGATAAAATCCATTTCTTGCATATTGTGCGTGAAGGAAATAAAAAACAGCAAGTTGCTCTATAAGTTTAATGATGGCATTGCTACTGTGTGTGTGTGTGTGTGCATGTGTGTGTGTGTGTGTGTGTGTGTGTGCAATGGGCATAATACTTATAATCTACTTGTATCACCAGGCAACCAGATCCACCACTTGCCAGAAATCTAAAGTTGCATTTGCGTAACTTGAATCCGTTATAACACGGTTCCGGGCCTAACTCTAGCTACTGTTGTCGTTGCAGACACCCAATCCTGCTGTCTGGGACACTAGCATGCTACAATGTACTTTTATAAGCAGAAATTTTCGGTGATGTTTTAATTTCCGTAACTTCGATGCCGACAATTTTTACCGAAAATAAAACGCACCGAAAATTTCGGTACTACCGGTACTGTATACATGTAGTACTAGTAGACTTACCTGGAAAACGGGTTTTACCGAAAATTTCCCTCCGTCGATTTTGGAGAATACCGAAAATGTTACGCCACCGAAGTTTCCGCTTTTACATGCAGCATGTCCGACTAGAACTTCCGTGCGGATTCGTATGCTTTGGTCCTTTGGAAGTGCGCTGTGGTGTTCAGTGAAAGGCACTGGGCTGTTCACACTTGCACACGAGGGAAATGCTCATGCATTCGTTATTAGGGGTTTCCAGATTATGTTTGAATAATGGGGTGTTTTTGGATCTTTGGAATTTTTTCGAATTTTGCTGTTTTCCCGTGAATTTTCGCAAATTCGACAATTTTCCGGAAAATTTTGCCAAATTCTACCTTTTTTAGACCTCTTTTTGAGGTGTTTTGAAAATCTGGGGGACCAAAGTCCGGCAAAGGCACCAATCACGTGCCACGATGGGCCTGAAAAATGTCGACGTCAGTGCACGCGGCCTCTGATCTGAGCTCAGCACTGTCATGCATATATTACGTCATCGTTGCCATCGCAACGGGTAGATAATTCTCGGGTTTTGAGTGATTTTTTGAATATTTTTTAGAAATTTTTCGCATACCATCATTTTTGGATTTGGACCAGTATCTTGTATCTCGATAATACGCAATTTCTTGCGAATAATCTGGAAACCCTTATTCGTTATCAGGGTTTGAAGATTCATGCATGAGCTGTAGAAAGCCTTGCTTTTCAAGTACACTTCAACATACAGTACGTACAGTGGATATAACATACTTTTTCTCCTTTTGCATCGGATAGAAAGTACTTTTTGGAAGACACTGCAGTCTCACCCATCCTGTTATACAGTGTTTTACTTCGGATATACAGACGACCTTGTGTCTGTGGGGACTGCCCTAATAAAATATGAATAAAAATATAAAAATGTACAGAATTGGCTTGAAAAATCCAACCCCATGTACATACAGGTAGAGTCAAACTCTAGCTCTTGTCCAGACGCCCCAGATACGGGCACGTCTCTCTACCGGGCACCTTTAGCTTGAGTTCCTATGGCAAAAATGCTTCGAATTTGGGGGTTTGAACTTTTTTTTCATATGGGCAAGTGCATACTTGTCACTGCCAACCGATGTAAACTATGCATCTTCATCAATAGATCCTTTTTCTTATCCGCTGCACATGTGCAATACGTTCAAAATAGACTTCTTCAAAAACTGATATCATACATGGTAGATGAGTTATTCTGAGATACGGGCAAATCTGAGATATGGGCAAATCTGAGATATGGGCAAATCTGAGATACGGGCAAATCTGAGATATGGGCAAATCTGAGATACGGGCAAATCTGAGATATGGGCAAATCTGAGATACGGGCAGTGCCCGGTCCCAAGGTGCCCAGATAACAGACGTTCGAGTGTACATTTAGAATAGAGCCAGGTGATACGCAGCACTAGCACTACATACATTGTTCTGGGCACTCGAACGCTGCAATACTATACTCCAGGTTGGATTTCAATGGCCGGAACGGGAGAGTACCTGAGTGTGCCGATTTTAATGTCCCTTAAAGGCTTTGATGTGCGCTTTCGCCGTGTACCGAAGTTCCATTGTATACTGATACAGGTCCAGCGCATGTCTCTTCATTTGTTGGCAGAGAGAGAGAGAGAGAGAGAGAGAGAGAGAGAGAGAGAGAGAGAGAGAGAGAGAGAGAGAGAGAGAAAGTTACATTTATAAAGACAGGTATGTCTAACAAATGAGGACTGAGACCTCTACAACAGATGGAGAAAATGCACAGAATTTTTGTAATGAGATGAAAAGCAGAAATAATCAGAAATAATAAGAAAAGATTAAATGAAAGCCTTCTCACAACCCCGCCCAGCCTTGCGAACTGGGAATGGTGGATTAAGAACCCGGGTTCAACGCTCGAGCAAGCGCTCTCCACTCAAGGTGTTCACAGCAACTGATAGGAACTCAGAGGGGGAAATGATAGAGAGAGAGAGAGAGAGAGAGAGAGAGAGAGAGAGAGAGAGAGAGAGAGGGGGGGGGGGGGGAGATGATGCTGGACAAGCCATAGCCATCACAGGCGACTTTTACATTGTTTCATCTCTTATTCCATTTATAGAATAGTATCATATCAAGTAGGCATCTAATCAGTGTAAGATACTATGAGTAAGGAAGTCTAACAGATCGAGGACCACATGGTCCAACCAATCCAGGAAATCTGCGAATTGTAGCACAGACATCTTGCTTACACAGTCATCTAGTTGCAGTTTGTAAGTATTCCCTTTCACAGTCGCAGATGCTAAACTTGCTTTCCCTGGATGTGGGTAAAAGAAACTTCATCGGAATGGCCCTCCCCCTGAAATCAAATCAGAGTGATTTGATCACCAACATTGTAGAGCGAAATAATCCAGTACAGGTCACCGGTGACATTCGAGATGGTTTCCGTGGCGCCCGTTCTCGTCTGCACACCGGTGAGGGTGTGCCGATCGTGATCAACTGTTAGATGAATGATGTCGCCGGTCTGCCAGGGCTGACTGAGGGCTGTTACTGCTTCAGTGTGATACGCCACTGTGCCGACGCCATACCAACCGAAACACGTTTCCCTGTTCTGCTGGTAATGTTCCAGGATAGGCTTGCTTGCTGAGCAGGCAGAGAGAAAGACGTTACCACGTTCGGTCTTGTCAATCCTCATCTTCAATGTACTGATACCAGTTTTGGTCCCCATAGGTTCCGTACATGCCGATGACCAGCAACTATTGACGATGTTTCTCGTTCTTAGGGAGTGACCATCATCACCGATCTTCACTTGATTGCCGCAGCGACTTCCATCAAACTTTGGAGGATCGGACACCAACAACGCACGAGGACTACCTTTCACG